GGGTGGTGGTTGTGTTGATTGAAAGTTCCTGATTGGATATCAAATTTATTGCTTCTTTAGGTTACATAGTCTTGTTTGGCATGTTTGCAATTGTGCTTGCTGCTAGCTGGAGTTTCTTGATTATTTATATTTTTCTGTTGGAGTTTGTTTTCGGCTAAAGTCTTGGGGAAGAAAAAAGGGAAAAGTAAAAGGGAAAAGTTTGGTTCCCTTCACCACCCGTGAGAGCTCTTTCTTTTTGGTTTATAGGGAGAGTTGTAGAGAGAAAGGAAAGTGTTGCTTTTGGAAAAGAAAGAGAGTAAAAAGGAGAGCTCATCATTTTTTCGGTTTAGAAGAAAAGAGGAAGCAATTCTCTGATTAGTAACCCAGTGATGACGTTTAATGAATTTGTCTAGCTATTTTTGAATTTAATAACTAGGGTATTGGATTACTTATTTTCAAATTAAACTTGAATTACTGTTTCGAATGTGTGTTGGGGAATAAGTAAGAGAAATTCTTGGTATATAATAAGAGGAATGTACCAGTTTGTGTATAGCAACTAATCTTGATGACTATAATCAGTTTCTAAATTTGCATTGATTTTCCTTTAGAAATCAAGGTTTGATGGTCAGCATTTTAATTATTCAGTAAGAGGACTATAGCCACTTTTTATTTACAGCCAGAGAGTTTTAATTTTTGCTTAGTTAATACATTGTATAGTTACAATCGCATTTTCCTTTTCTAGGATCACAATTGCATTTGAGAAATATGATAAGGTTGAAAACTGTAAGAGAAATATTGATGCTCCAGGGTTATAATCCTTCTTGAAAGCTTGATGTGAGTTTTTCTGTTGCATTTACCTTGTCATGAAACCCACAACATTATCTGTTGCATTTAAGAAAAATGTTGTAGGATTAGTTTCTAATGTTATATTTTTATGGTTGAATAAGTGTATAGATGTCGCAGTTGATTACTCGTCGTCGGAGTGTGACCAATGCACCTCCTGCATTATCAGCATCTACGGCTCCAGCCGTGAGTGCTCCATTGATTAGCGAGCCTACACCCTTTGCTGAGGCCACTCCTACGGCGTCCCAGGTGCCCGTATCATCGACGTCATCAGTGTCAGTTGAGCAGCTCAGTGCACGGCGGCCTCATCGGCGGCGCCGTGAGCCGGAACCTTCTGATCACACTTCTTCGGAATCCAGAGTCGAGTGCGAGGCCTCCCATCCAGGTAGTTTTTTCTAATTCTCACTACGCTGTATTTTTTTTTCATTTTAAAACTATTATTTTTATGATGGTGAAAATTTACTGGATTGTGAAAATCTATTGCTGGTTATGAATTAATGTTATTTTATTATTTTAAGGTTTTGGAAAATGCTATACTATTACGGAAGGTTGTGTCGAATTTTTTTTACAAATTTAAGCTTTGGGATTTCACCATTTAAGTATTTTTGGCCAGCTAAAAAAAACACCAGAGGGCCTAGTCGAATGCTGAAGCAGTCACAGACCGCACGACAGGCCGCCTCCAAGATCAAGATTGTGTATGACGCGCAACATCGTGGAGCAGCTACCTCACAGCAACATAGCTTCATTGCTAGTAGCTGTGGTGTTGTTATTCGAGACAATTGTCCTTTTCAGTGGGAGTCTTGGGCAGAAATTCCCGAGGAGACGAAGAGAATGGTGCGACACAAGTTGTCGGTTAGTATATTAATTTTTAGCCTTTATCATTTTTTTAATTTTGTTTACAAATATTAAAAACCAACATATATTATCTTAATATTATTAAATTTCTTACTATTATTTTATTGTTTTTCATATTCGTAGGTCATTTATGATCTTGAGGACATATCCCTTGAGGTCATGAACTACTTAGAGGAGACCTTAGCAAACCGGTACAAAAATTGGAAGAGCACTTTTCACACGTTTTTTAAGCGATGGGATGATCCAGAGATTGCTCGCCTACATGTTCCAAGCGAGTTAAAGGACCGACCAGATGATTGGGAGTGGCTCTGCAAACATTTTACTGACCCAAAATTTGTGGTATGTACATAATATTTTAATAATAATTTATTATTGTTTTAGTAATTTTTAAGCTTTTTTTATTAATTTATTTCAAATAGTTGCACTAACATGTAGACCTGTGTGTTTAACAGAAGAAATCTGTTGCTGGCCAAAAAGCTCGTGAGTCAAAGACACTTCTCCACCATTCCGGTTCGAAACCCTTTTCGTATAGGCTTCAGACACGACGTCAGGTAAAAGTATATTAACTTTGAAATTTTATACAATTTATTATTATTATTGATTAATAAAATTTTCTTATTGTTTTTTTTCTTCAGGAGGGTTCTAAGTTCCCAGCAATCGACATGTTTAAGGACGTTTACGTTCGACCTGGTCAGGAGATTACTGAGCAGTTTCATGTAAGTATATGTAATTATTATTATTCTTATATGTATGAATCATTCAAATATTATTTATATTTTGTTATTAAACATTATATGTTTTTTCTTTATTATTATAGGCTACTATGGTGGAAAAGAGCACTTCTGTTCTCCAAGAAGCAACATCGCAGCTTCCCCCGGAGACCCCGATCGAGGACGTCACGATACCTGAGGATGTAGGTTTTCAGATCATGACTGATGTCCTGGATCAGAACTTAGGTCGTCGTCGTGGCAAGGTTGTTCGGTGTATGGGGAAAGCACAGATTTGTGAAACGGGTGCCTCTTCTTCCAGATCAAACGCAGAGGTAGATGCATTGAAGGAGGAAGTGACAACCCTAAAGGCCCAGGGTGAGCAGATGAAGGAGCAGCTGAGGGCCCAGGGCGAGGAGATGAAGTCATATGCCGGGGCGTGGAGAGACCTTGTACAAGCCATACAGATGTCCGGCCTTCAAATCTCACTACCAGCACTTCATCTTGGTCCACCTTCGACCTCAGAGCCACCTCGCCCTGCTGATACCTAGTAGCTTGATGTATTAAACCTAGTTCACTTTTAGTTTTTTCTTTTTTGTTCGGATCTTGTATGTACATTTTCATATATTTTATAATTAAATACTTTTGCTTGGTTAATTAATTATTCTTTCGAATTTAATTACAATATTTATCAAAAATTAAAAAAAAAAAAAAAAAAAGTTTGACCAAAACTACTCCCCACTTTGCACGACCAATCACTTTGCACGACGCACATCGTTAGTCACGCAAAGTGGTTTGCGCGACGCACTCCGTTGGTCACGCAAAGTAAGTTTGCGCGACGCACAAAGTGGGTAGTGCAAAGTGGGTTTGCGCGACGCACACCGTTAGTCACGCAAAGTGGGTTTGCGTGACGCACAAAGTGGGTAGTGCAAAGTGGGTTTGTGCGACGCACACCGTTAGTCACGCAAAGTAGTTTGCGCGACGCACCCCGTTAGTAACGCATAGTGGGTTTGCGTGACGCACAAAGTGGGTAGTGCAAAGTGGGTTTGCGCGACGCACTCCGTGAGTCACGCAAAGTGGGTTTGCGTGACGCACAAAGTGGGTAGTGCAAAGTGGGTTTGCGCGACGCAGTCCGTGGTCGCGCAAAGTTGGTTTGCGTGACGCACAGCGTTGGTCGCGCAAACCCACTTTGCGCGACGCGCGCCGTGCCGTCGCGCAAAACAACTTTGCGCGACGCACGCCCCCGTGGCCGTCGCGCAAACCCTAGCGTCTCAGACTTTGCGCGACGATTAACGCGCGACGAAGGTTGCGTCGCGCAAACCCTTAGGCAACGATTTTTTACTTTGCGCGACGAAAGTACCTACGTCGCGCAAAGTGTTTTTTTTACTAGTGTAGCAACAAAAAAAGAACCGAGTTTTCAGAACATGAATCTATATATCTTTGGTACCTATATCTACTAGGCTGTTGAGGCCATTGCTGCATACATTCCTCTAGAGGATGGCAAGGGTGTCGTAGGTAATCACGCCACAAATGAACATCTTCCAAATCAAAATATCCACTGCTGGTTGAGAGCCTGCAACTTTTTTTTCGGGTCGTTAGAGTAGAGGTTTGCCTTGTCTTCTGCAGGCAAGCAAAAGAACTCCTTGAACACACCCATCGTGTCGTTCAACAAACTTTCTGATATGCCATGGTTGACAACCTGCTTTGTAAATAACATTAAACGGATAACGCATAACATAGTAATTGAAAATCTGAAGTAGTGGTTGCTCGATGATCAAGGAAGAGTATTTGAAGTCTCAAAAAGTGACCTAAAAAACCCAAATTCTGGCTAGCCTTGAGTATTTTCTGGTTTATATAGGTTTGATCACCGCCTTCTGCTCCACCCAAATCAATCAGTGGAATGTTGTCTCGCAAATGAGCGGTAGTAAGATTCCCGGGTCTTGCATCCGGTGGGAATATGTAACTCTCAGGCAAGGTTTGACCGTTGTACCAGCTTGAAATAAGCTTCTCCATTCCCTCAATGTGTATCTAGCCTCACCACTATTCTAAATTTTCCCGCCTAGCTCAACCTATGCCCTGCTTAGGCGCTAGACGGTTGGTCACCCCCCTCCAATTAATACCTAGGTGTTTGAAAATTAAGAAAGGACGCCTAGACCAGCTGAGGCGCCTAACTATACTTCATAATACGTATATCATTCTATTTTATAATTTATGATGAAATTATATATATTTTAAGTATAAACAAACACTTATTTACACAAAATATAATGGATTTATTTAAATCCGTCTAGTCCGCCTAAGCGCCCGCTTAGACTCTGCCTAGCCGCCTAGGTGCTAGGCCCCAGCCTGCCTCCTCCCGACTAGTACCTATTGTCTTTTAGAACCTTGAGCCTCACAATGATTGAAGGGGAAAACTGTAAAACCCCTCCGCAAATTTAGTTTGTAATTTTACATTTCGCCTAAAAGTATTTGAAGTTTTCAATTTAGTCCCCACTTATTTACCCTATCCGGATCCTTAATCCATATTTTCCTCCTCTCACTGGCTGCCACGTGGCAACCTACTAACCCACTTACTCTTCTTTTTTTTTCCTCGATCTCTCTCTTGAATCTCACTTTCTCAGCTCTTTATCCTTCTCACTCACCCTCTCTCTCTCTCGCTTGCACTCCCATTTCTCGATCGACACCCACTGTCACACTTGAGCCATCCCAACGACGGTGCAGTACCACCATTGCCCTCTTATACTCCCTCTCTCACTCCCCCTCGTCTCTGCAAGCTCTAGGACACCCAGAGGCACCCAAATCTATATGGTGAGCCCCGTGCATTTCGAACAAGATTCCGGCCACCTCGTCCATTCTCTGTTGGATCTCAGGTACAAAACCTCTTCCCCTTTATTATACCTTCATGTTCGTAAGTAGATTGGAGGGTAGATTGACGTTTTGCTATCAACCGAAACCGAGGAAGCTCCGGCGTCCTGTCCGTCGAAATCAGGCATTCGGGCTGTTGCATCTGAGCCCAAGCTTTAGGGAAGCCCAAACCTAAACCCCTGCCTCTTAGGCTTACGGGGCATTTGGAACTCGGGCTTAGGTTCGTTTAAACCCAAGCCAAACCCTTTTATTTTTATATATTTTATTAATCCAAAAACAATCGGGCCAAACTTCAATGCCCACCTAATTGGAAACCCTAAACCTTATCGGGCCGTGTAGGCTTAGGCCTTTATGCCTTTGCATCCAGCTCGTTAGAACCCAACTCACTAGACCTTTGGGCCGGGCTTTCCAGCCTATGCCCTTTGACCCAAAACCCTACGGACCTAGGCCCTTGGGCCTTAAAACCCAAGCCTAAGCCCAGAGGCCCAAGCTCAGACCCAGTTTGACCTAGGTTGACCAACTCAAACCCGTTGATTTTGACCTGTCTAACCGTTGACCTGGTCAACGGTTAGCGTTGACTTTGACTTTGGCCGGTCAACGTTCAACATTGACTTTTTGACTTTTTTTGGGTTTTCAGTTCGGGACCCCTCCTAGGCTAATTTCGATGTCCTCGACCCATTTTTTACGTTCGTTTTTCCAAATTCAATCATTTGAATAGAGTTTTATTAATTGGACACTTTATGTGTTTAGGTGCGAATATTAGTTGCGATTCTGTCATTCCTATTTTGTACGGCTCTTCGACGATGGATTATCTATGAGTGGACCCTTCTAAAATGCATGTTTTAATAGTAGAAATGCATACATGAAAAGCATGATTTAATGACTATGTTTTATGAAACATTTTATGAGATATTATGCTTACTTAGAATATTTTGAATTACCATATTTTATCAAACTCATGTTCTTTGTAGTATAGATGATGGATGACTTTATACTGCTTATGAACATGCTTTTACACACTTCTTTATAGTATAGATGATGGATGACTTTATACTGTGAAGTTGATTTTGAGATATATGTACCTATGTTTGGAAATATTATTTTAAGTGGTTTTGTGCTTATCTAGTGGTCACTTATATTGACCTCCGGGTTGGGTGCTGTAGTAGCTTACAGGCGATTGATACTTATATTGACCTTTGGGTTGGATGTTGTAGGAGCCTATGAGCGATTGATACTTATGAAGGAAGTTTCTGAAGGAAGAGTTCTATATGCCTTTGGGTGATACTGACACCACTAGTTAGCACACTATATACAAGTTATGTTTCAGGAAAGGTTTTATGGCATGCTAGGGTTTTTGGAAAACCTACCACTTATTATGCTATTAGTTTTCATAAAATTTTGGGGGTTAGTATGTTGATAACTGTTTTATTATATATATATATATATATATTAACTTGGTTCAGTCATATTTGTTTTGCGTCCCCTCAGGACTTAGAATCGAGGCGTATAATCCTGGTGTTAAGGCACTTCTACATCGGCATCTTCGAGTTCTCTCAGTGTAGGTCCCACTCCTTTACTCATTCAATTTTATATTATTTCTTTTCTAATATCTTGAATTAGTTGTATGATTTGAACACGTTCCTCAATTGCATGTTAATTCATTATATTTAAATTTATAAGTCTTGTTTATTTCTTGTTCTCAACATTTGCATTCAATAAATGGCTTTTGTCACCCTCTAGTGTCAGCCAGCACATGACCATCCCGATGTCCGTGGGACATCGAGATCGAACACAGACATCGGGATTGGAGTGTGTCAAAAACTAGTGCACATATAAAGCTGAGAAATTGCTTTCAAACTTGCCTATGATTTAAAGTCAACCATCCATATATTCCAATTTTTTTACATCAATCTGGAATAAAGATAATTCTTTACGTGTATCAATTGGCTTGATAAAGGCTCACATAATGCAGACAATCTTGTAATTAAATAGAAGACATAAACAATACCTTGATTATGATCCAAGGCCGGCAAGGCGATGCTCGACATTGTTGAGAAATAATTTCATATTGATGGGGGAAAGAACCTTGCGTAGACTAATAAGAGGTTGGATTTCTTCTCATATTGCCAATTGGTTTTATGGTGGAGCCCCAACTTTCTTCATGGTATAAGAGCAGGTTGTCTCACATGTGAAGTCTAACGGCCATACATGCTCCACGTAACGCCGTTTGTGGTGTCCACATGTTTGGCTTGAAAGTTGCCACACGTAAGGGGGTATGTTGAGAAAGAATTTCACATTGATGGGAGGAGAGACATTGCATGAGCTTATAAGAGGTGGGTTACTCTCTATATTACTAATTGATTTACAGAGGAACCTCAACTTTCATGAGACATTAAAAAAATGAAGGAAAGAATTTGAAGTCTCGATAGTCAATAAGTTACCTGAAAAAGAAAAAAAAATACCGAATTCTTGACTAGCTTTGAGTATCTGCTCAGTTATACAAGTATGACCACCGCCTTCGGCTCCACCTAGATCAATCACTGGAATGTTGTTACTGCATTCTATATTTGCACAAAGTTTCCTTATCACAACAAACTTTTAAATGAGTATTGAGAATCTTGTTATTTGCCTATGGCGGACGCGGGGAGGTTAAATGCTTGTGATGGACTCTATCGGATTTCAGTGTGGGATGCAGATGGGAGGTCGGCAAAGCGTTACATGTTTTTTAATGCTATGGTTATTTACCGAGGCACACTGCATTAGTGTACCAAGTCCAACTTGACATTTCCACGATTGATTAGAAGATTTCAATATTAGGAGATATGGTCGTAAACGCTTGTATGTGTTTTTTTTTTTTTTTTTTTTTTGCCCCATGATTAGACCTGTAAACAGGTTGGGTTTGGGTCATGTTCAATCCGACCTGTTAAGCTAACAGGTCTTCTGAACCTAACCGCTTAATCTATTAGGTCACCCGTTACAATATTTTTTTTTTTTTTTTTTTTTGCATTCCAATACAATTACACATATTAATTGCAAGGATGTATAAAAGGGTGCTCACAGTGAAAAAGGTATTGACTTGGATATATAGTAAACAAACAAGGAGCTACGACTTGGATTTCTCCTCCGTCTGGTTCTAGAACTCTTCCTTAAGGTGGAGAGGTCGATGGTGAGCTCGTGGAAGCTGTTCGCTAGAGACTCAGTCTGGAGGAGGAGCCACGTCTGGCTGCCGTTGGAGGAGTCTTCAAGAAGGGTCTAGATCCTCTGGAGCAGGATGTAGAGCTCCTGGAAGTAGAGGACAATAGAGTGGGAGAAGACAGCGGTGGAGCCGCGGATGATGTCTTCGAAAAGGATGGAGAGGAGGGTTGACCTGCGGATCACGGAGCGAGAAGTGCGGCATAAGAGGAACTGGAACGGCTTGAGAGAGGAGATTTCTTGGGAGAGATGGTGGAGGGAACGGAGGAGGGTTTGATCAGAGAGCTAGCTTGGGCGATATGAAGGCCCCTGCCGATGGTCGGCGTTTTCACGGCGGAAATGCTTGCGGAGATATTGCCATGAACTAATCAAATGAATGAATCAATGAAGTATTAGGTTATTATCGATGATAAAAAAAAAGATAGGAAAATAGGAAAAAGATAAGGTGTGGTTATAATTTATAATGGGTGCTAATGGGTCCTAACGAGTTGATCCAAAGTGACTCGTACGGGTTCGCTCGTTAGTGACCTGACCTGTTAAGCATCCATCCAAATACTAATATTGACGGGTTGGGTAGGGTCTGGTCCAAAATGCCAGTTCTACGCATGATAGTGTTCGGGCAGCACATCTTTTGATGATGTTTTTGTTACTATAATGCTTATGTTTGACTTTCAAATATAACATTTTAAATTGTTCTTTGAATCATCTCATGGCGAATGAATAAAACGTCTTATTACATTCTATTCGTCTCAACCCCCATATTGCATAAAGAAGAAAACAAGATATTTGTAAGAGAATTCGTCTATTTTCTTATTCAAGTAGAGTGTGCTGCAAGCAATACAAAGACAACTAGGGTTTTTCCCCTCTACTTATTCTGCACAGTAAACACTATATTATATCACATTATATAGGGTTTTTTCCCGTTTACTTATTCTGCACAATAAACACTATATTATATCACATAATTTGATGTATCTTATTAGGTTGGAATTTCTGTAGTTATTGTTAATCATTCAAATAAATGATTAACGATCTGTAGCCACGCCGAGTAGTTATCTAGCCACGGCATTATTAGGGTATGCATCGTGTGGAGGAGGCGGAGTAGTAGTAGTGTGGCCTGCAAAGTTCCTTTGGTTGATGGTTGTATCGGCAAGATCAGCAGACCTTGGGATCTTCGGATTAGATCCAGTGGGAGGAGGATCGCCCTTCTGCTTCGAATCCATCAACACGATGTTTTTGTTCATCGTCGTTATAGTCTTCAAGTTTTCTTTCTCATCATACAACATCCTGCTTGCACTAACCACATGCAGGTCCATACTCATGAGAAATACAACTGCTAGAACTGCGAATAAAACATTAAGAAACCTCATGGTGATCTATTGATCTGGTACTTACAGATATTAAACAAAGATAGCTAGCTTAATTATGAAGGATGTGTTATGTGGAGGTTCGATACGTGTGTATTTATATGCACCAATCTGCATGACTTTCAACCTTTTTCTTTTGTGGAAAACATTAAAAATTGAATGGGTCAGAACAGAAGAAACGAGTTTGTTCGTCTACGATAGTAGAATTCAAAGTAAAGCTTTCAAATTTTTTAAGTTGGCATCTCTCCTTACATGTATTAGCAGGAGTGTTGCAAAGAAAGTTCTCTATGTAATTGGCATACATTTTGGGTCACAAAGAAATCAAAACCAAACCCACAATATATGTTTCTTTGCACTTACTATGGACTTCGCAATACCTTCACTTCGAGACCTACAACCGAGATAGTGTTGCAGAAATATCTCTGATGACAAAACAGATTCTCTCATTTTCCGCCCGAACGTTTGACCAAAATGTTAATGAAAACTTTTGGGTTGACTTGCTGATTGTATATTATTAGGACTTGAATTTCGTTTAACCAAAATGTTAATGAAAACTTTTGGGTTGACTTGCTGATTGTATATTAGGACTTGAATTTCGTATATCTCAAGTTTGAAGTCGTGGTTGTATGAAAGCGAAACTTGCAATACATGTTGCGGTTTAACGCCGCAATCTGGTTTGAGTTTTGAATTGTACCACATTCTTCACGGCCAGCCAGTTTCTGCTTTAGGAACTGAATCCTTTCCTAAGCTCAGGATGAGGATCCTCTTGAGCAGCTCATCTGGGCCAAATTTGATCCAACGGCTCCAAACAAAAGGCTCTTCTAAAAATTATAATAATTGCAGCTGTTGGATCAAGTTTGAACAACCCGGATGGGCTGCTCATGAGGTTCGGCATCCTGAACTCAGGAGAGAGGATCCAGTTCCTCTGCTTTAGCCGCACTAATTGCTTCGTCATTATAGCAAATGTTGGAACTCACCAAACCGGGTGGAAAGCTGAATATTTACTTGGGAATGTCTGCATTTTGGTCTCAATTTTTGCCTGTGCTACTAATTTACACTACATTCTTTTCGTTGGTTGGAAATTCCGAAAAGACTTCACTTGTTGGGATAACGACTCGTGTTTCTAACACGAGCCGTTTTAGTTCTCAACACGGCACGAAATGGGAGCAAAGGAGAGAGTCCGACTCTGTCCTTAGATGTAAAGTATCATTATCATACGTCTGGAGGAGCAAATACTTGGTGACGCTACAAACCCGGGAACCGGACTTGAAAATCATACTATAATTTTTACGAAAACCAACGAAAAGTTCTCAAAAACTTTAGTTTTAATGAAAATGGCAAAATAAAGAAGTATGTGAATAGTATTAGAAGTGACTTTTCAAGATAAAAATGTCTTTAACGTTAAAAGTAAACAGTACCAAAAGTGTTTCGATAAGATTCCCATATTTTTTCCCATTACGTACTACATCCATGTTAACAAAAAACTGATCATATTTTCAATTAAGAAGTCTTTCACTGATTAACACCAACATGTTCAATGCCAATTTCCTCCCTTGTGTGGAAAAGCGTCCATGGAATATTATTGATCAATAACTTTTGAGTATATCTTCATGTTCACTATTTAGCCCAGAATGGAGAAGGGAAGAAAAAGAGAATACAAAGTAGTGGCATAGAAAGGGAATGCAACATCGAAAGCGTAAGTATAAAACGGCCTCTAAATCTATATATACTCATATTACATATCGTACTGTTTGTTTACTGCCTTTCTCTCTAAAGCTATATTCCCTTTATGGTTTGAAAAGCATTTTTGTCCTTTTTCTCCCGTTCTTTGTAGGATTACCCTTTTTGGGACTTCCGTTGTTTTCGGGAAAGAAAATAAGCCTACACCAAAACTAGTATAAATATAGGCTTATACTATTCTCAAGTTCTCAACGTACCCCTCTTTAATTTTCCTTGAGTACGTAGCGATCTTCAATTGGCCTTGTGTTTGTTTGTTGCGAAGTAGTGTACACTTTAGTCGATTTTAATGATCAAGATGTCTGAAGTAGGCTCAACAACCCCAACAACTAAAGAAAGCAGATTAATGCGACCGGAAGATGTGCCATGCTCGCCAGCACCAAAAAAGTACTGACCTCCCAATAATGGAGTTGATCCTAAGAAAGCCCCAAAACGTGATTTGAATAAAATTTTCAATGAAGTACGCAAATTGAGTTAAGAAATAATATTAGGGCTATCAAGAGAAGGATGGTGTTTCAAGTCGAGATCGTTATTTATAACTTAGGAGTTTCATTCGTTATGTTACTTTTATGAAATGATATTTCTTTTTCGTTGCTTATTATGGGTATGCATGTAAGAGGAACTGATAACAGTTTTGATTAAAGATTTACTTGCTGTTTTATATGA